AAATTTAATAAATGACAAATTAATAAAAAGGTATGAACATTTTTTTTGTATCGAAAAAATATCGAACCGTGACACCAAAGTATCGAACCGAACCGAACCGTGAATTTTGTGTATCGTTGCACCCCTAATATATATATATATATTTAATTCTAGGTGGATGAATTTCATGAGTTTTTAGTTTGTACTGCATCTCAGGTCAGTCTGCTCCTTTGATCCAGAGTGAAATTTCTCAACAGCTGTTACCAATCATCCAAGGACTCCAGGGCAGTGAAGGACCAGGAGTAGGTCATCATTGGTCATTTTGAGGGAAATTTTCTAAAAGCTACTAGACTAACATTTCATACAAGCACTCACGTCTCCCTCAGAAGGACTTGTAGTAACGTATATGATGATTATCAGGCTTTTCATCAAATGTCAAGATGATTAATTTCAGTTTCCCACTGAATAATCCCCAAATACCTGATAAAATAATATCAGTATACCATTTCCTTACACATTGTGCACTAATGTGTGCGTGTGTGATATCTAGACGGTGGTCCACTGGAAATTATTTGGTATGGTGACCAAGTCCAGTCAGTCTGTGAGGACCTGTGGTTACTGGGATTCTCTTATTTGTTCCTTGACAGCTGTCTATGTTTTACTTTATCAAGTCTACATGTAAATCTGTTTTGGGTTTGTGGTAGCCTAGCCTTTTCCGACCGCTGACTGGGGTTGTTGTCTGTGGTTCTGGAATGACACTATTGACATTTCTGGTTACTGCTAAGATGTTATTTTTGGACTTACACACTGCAAAAATGTATGTGCGTGTGTGTTTATGAGATAGAATGTGTAAGGACCCATGTGTAAGGAGCAGTAAGGACCCCAAAAAATCTGTCCCTGAGCCTATCACAGAGTTGTTATTCCTGTGCCTTGGAACACCTTGAAAACAGAGGACCCTCTGAGAAAACCCACGCAACTCAGGATCCTTTTTCATATTTGTATTAAATGCTATATAAATCTCAAGATCACAAATCCTGGGAGCAGATTAATGACCTGCTTTTAGCAGAAGTAAATGTTAACACCCTAAAATCATAGTCATTCTAAAGACTGCACCTGCTTCATGTTTGCATGGCCCTTGTGAACCTTTTAGCACATAGCTTTAACCACTATGATCTCCAGCAGAGTCTCACAGAGCTGCTAGCATGATTGTTGACCTTTAGTTAAAAAAGAAAAGGAAAATAAAAAATGATCCTTTCTAAGAATATATAAATAATCAGTGAGGTTGAAACCCAAGGTCCTATAAAGCAGCAGCTTCCTTGTGAGGTGAAGCCGGTCTTAAAAAATGTCAGCTTCCAGCTGGACTGTAACAGCATAGTGGATATCCTGGTAAGACATTTATCACCTTCCAAACCCTGTGGGTTAAATAGTAAGACAGCTAGCAAATATCCTCAATTATATATCCATATGAAGTTTAATGATCCTGCAGGCAAAACCTTGGGAAATTCCTCAAGTTGTTTATGCTACTCGCATAACTGTTATGGCAGGTTATTAGTCACACAAAACCTGAAATATTACAGATTTTGCTTTCTTGTTCTGGATTCCTAGGTGGAAACAAGCTTTGGAAGTAAAGCTGCTCAGTGAATCCAACCAAGTAGAAATGTCAGTCTTAGCCCCCAGCTGTGGTGGTAGACAGCTGACTGGCACATTAAGGCCCGTTATAGTTGGAGCTCCAAAAGAGCTCGCTACAAGGCCTGTGTCTGGTGGGTCGACAAATAAAAGGATTTAAACGTCCCTAGTGAGACTAAATTTAATTTTCTGAGGATCCCAGGCTGAAAATTTTAACAAGCATCACACCATGGGAATATAAAAGCATCACTTTCATTTCTTTTTCATAATTGATGAAGCCTTTCAAGTACATTAAACACAGGTTCTTCGAGTATTTCAGCAACGGGCCAAGTTATTTCATGTGGATGTGAATCAGAGGGCAATATTTTGTATGTGACAACCTTGCTATGCTACAAAGGAATCAATACTTTATTTCTCAGAAAAATAACCCTCTTTATTGATTGGACTCAGAGTAAAATGATCTTTACGATCCTTTTGAACCGTACTCCCTCACTCAAGCCACTGAGAGCTGAGGAATTTCATAGCAGAACTGTGGGAGCTTCAAAGCCTTAAATCCATTTTCTCCGTGTGTAAAGGTTCATAAGGAGCTGGGCGAGATGGCAGCAGGTAGAATGAGAGTGACAAAGAGAGTACAATAAAATTAAAGCCGCGGACAAAAGGCTTTTGTCCGTTTCTGCAGTGGTAAACCAGTGCTGAAAAGGATGTCAGCAGCATCTCCTGGACAGCCACTTTCACACCCACACACACACAGACACAAAAGTATAAGCATACACAAGCACAGGGTCACAAAAATAGACACATGCATACAGACAGCTCAGTCTGCATTTTCTGTTGCCTCCTGCAGTCACACATACTTACTTACACACGCACACACACACACACTTGTTGTCTCGTGCTTTCTGGGCCACTGAGGAGAGAGAGAGGGGAGAAGACAGGGAAAAAGAGCTGCTGGCTTGCTGAGTGTGAGTCATGGACAGGCTGACTGTCCTCAGGCCTCGATACACCATCTGCACCCCCCCACTACCTCTACACCCTCATCACACAGCTCAATGCTCCACAGCACCGGACACACACAAATATGAATACATGCAGAGACAGACAGACATGGATTCAAATGAAAGAAACAAATGCCCACATCTGACACATATCTGGAAGGACTCACAACCTTGCTAAATCTGGGCCATGCACTACTAAAACACCAAAACTCTAATTTATATATTAATAATCATCCAATCTGATGCATGTGGATCTAGAAATAAAAAGAAAATCATCTCAGTTTTATACTGGAAAAATATCAAATATTTTAAAAATGACATTTTTATGTAAAAGGACACATTTGCACAATTCTTTCCATACTAACACACACAGGAAAAAAAAGACCACTGAGCACTGAATCCCTGCAGGTTAACTGGGATCTACCATGATTCTAGCAGAATTCATTATGGAAACCTGACACTAGCCCACAGGAAAGGCGCAAATGTGGCTCTGCTGCATCCATCTGGCTATGCGTATTTGTGTTAGTGTGTGAGCGCGAGCGCATGAATGAGCACGTTCTCGAGGAATCAATGAAAAAGATCTTTTTCATTAGAGTAACAGTAAGCTGCTTTGGCATTGACCCCCCTCTTTATTTTCAGCCGCACCATAATACACCCCCCAACTCTGCTTTCAAGTACCACAAGCTAAAAACTGTATTTAAGAAGTCTTATTTTTTATTCAATGAGGTTATTAATGTTACACATCACAACAGATAGAAAACATTAGTCCAAAAAAGAGGACTGTGGAATAATAAGTATTAATAATATTAAGTAATGGCAAATATTTTTTACAGTCAAAATGGCATGATCACCGGCATGTCTGTCTGTCAAAATGTAACATCGCAGACTCGAAGCACAAAAGGTCAGGTTATAAAAAAAGGACACACTCGTACACACATGCAGCACAAACTGACGAGCAACTTTATCTAACAGCTCCTCGCCTGAGGAGCGCCACTACAAAATACAACTTGTTCCATTTAGCATAGCCTCTTCCTACTTTACAAAGTATCAGTCCATGTATCCTTCAGGTGTTGTGGTGCATGGGTGCAAACCAACTTCATCTGTGTGTCTGAGTCTGTATTCGATTAAGGTATGATCAAATAATGGCATCATATAAAGCACTTGTCATTGGACAGAATATCTGCTGACAGAGAAATGAACTGGATAACAACTTTATACAACAAAGTATAATTACAAAGAAAGGGCAGGAGTGCACTGAAGGAACACAAAACTAGTTGTGTTCACTTTTCCTGCTCACAGATCTTGCTCCGAAGTGTATAATTAGGGCTGAAATGATTATTTTTTAAAGAAATGTTTAACTGACTGATAACTCCACCACTCTTCTGACTAATCAAGAAAAACGTCACTCACGGTTTTCCAGAGCCCTAAGTGGCGTATTGAGAGTGCTTTTTTTGAGAAACCAATTAAAAACCCACCACATATTCCTAATCCTCATGTTTATGCAAGTGAAATCCTCAAACAACATTTTTTTTCTTTAACTGAATGGAGTTAATCAGTTATCGATATGGTTTGAATATCATTTCTGTAAACGAATTATTGAAGGCCTAAACTCACTGAACTGTATTTGACCAGAGACAGTATAAAAATGAAAACGAAAAAATCTTAGGTTGCCCATCAGCAGATGAATGACTGATGTTTATGGGCTCAGTCACTCATTTTGGGACATAATGAATTAAAAATTAAGGCTGTTTTGTAGATTTTGCTTGTTCTGTGTTTTAAAATAGACAATTATCTCTGGTATGAAACCGCACACTCATTGCCTAATGAGGGGTCAATTTAAAGTCTTTAGCCAATGATTCAGTTCAATTCAATTTAATTCAGTTTTTCTGTATATATTGCCAAATATAACAACATTCACTTCAATGAGCATGCATTTTCACAGTATGATCTGCTTTTCCTTATCACATCCATTTTTAAATTTTTTTGCAACCACAATGGCGACGGTGAAACGCTTCAAAACTGGACTTCAGAAACCAGTGGGTGACATTACTGTAGATGCATCCATCTTTACAACTGTCTATGATTTAAGTCATTTTCCAGTGCAGTGGGCAAATCTCACTTCAAGGCCCTCTTGCTCAGTTGTACTGGGCCTTTCCAACGTATTACATGGTTGTCTTCAGCAAATGCATGTTGGCCATAGTTTATCTGAAGATTATAGTTCTACAGTAGAAAATTACATTTGCTGATGAAAAGGCTAGAGGAAGTGAATTTTTGAGTTAAGATTGTTTTACCAACATTTATTTCAAAGAAATCCTAGCTTATCATAGTGCTGGTTGGCTGTTTTTTTTAAACTGGGAAGTTTTTAAATATAAAATAGAATAATTTAGCCTCGTATTGTAAAAAGGTATAGTTGATAATCTCTTAAAACTGCAAAGAAAAAAATGGTATAGATAATGGACAGGTGAAGTCTGAACTTGCAGGTATTAGTAATTTATGAATAGAATGATTTGGGTCTTTCTGTTTGGTTTTTCCTGATAAATTAGAAGCAAAGTGAAAGCCAAAATACTAGTGAAAAGACACCTTAAAGACCTGAAAACTTAAAATCTACTCATAAGGATGTTTTTTTACTGAGCTATAAAGCCAGCTTGCCCATCCAACTGGTACCTACTGAAGCCACTTTGTTCCAAGGTTACGGTGGGCAACACTACTGGCTGGGCAGCTTTCCATTAACATTCCCTTTACTATTACGATTTGCAAGAGGGCCAAATACAAAGAGTGTACTAGCATGGTTTGATAAACACGTTAATCTCCTTTAGCGCGGCTTCAAACTCCGTTCCGTGGAAGGTTTCGTGCACAGAAAAGACAGACCGTCTGTCTGGCTTGCTGTGCTGTGTGCAGCCACATTCTTCATGTTAGGAATAATTCTCTTTCCACTTGACTGCCTCTCATGTTTGCTACAGTAATCCATTCAGTGACATCTGTATAGGGGTGCCCAACTGTGCACGATCCTCCCCACATCCAATCATCCTATCTCCTCCTTCTTGCTTACCTTCCAGAAGCAATGTTTCCTAAATCTGCTTCTTCTGGTAAATGCAAACGCATCTGCCTGATCTCAAATGTAAGAATTTGTTATGTGGTTTGTTTATTTGGAGGTATAAGAATTTGTGGTTTTGTCAGTTGTTGCTATTGGCAAGTACTCTTAAACCTGTGGTTGAACTTGACTTTACGGCATCCTTATAGCTTTTGAATGCCTTGAAGGATGATTTTTATAGCTAGTAACAAGAGCAAATTCTCAAACAGTTATTCAACTTCAAGAAAAGCTAGTACTGCCTGTAGTTGTTTTGTTTTCTGAGTCTCATCCCCATCTCAAGGGAAACTTGATTTAGCAAATCCCAATCCATTCATTTAGCTCTTTCAGCTGCAGCCTCTTCGACTCCTTTGAAACACAGAGGATGTGCGTGCTGAAACCAGAGGTAAACTGGGGCTTTTAATTTTTCTCCCTGCTCTATTTAACATCCGTTTCTTTTCTTGTCTGTTCTTTTCTCAGTGAGGGCTGCTGAGCTAACACTGTGGGTAGTTTGTGTATGCAGGAGGTGGAAAAAAAAGATTCCCCCTGCTGAGTTTGTATTCTGCCAGACTTTCACCTAGTCCTCAATCCCATATCCAGGATCTCTAAACCACTTTATCATTTCTCAAAAGTCACAAAACTCTGTTCACCTATCGCTGCCTACTTTTCTTCAGTGTCTCTTTGAGAAGAGTCCTCCCTTCTCTAGTACAATCTGTGATTTTACAATGGTGTCTCTTGTCTTCACGCTTCACTATAACATCCTCTCGTTCTGCATGGCCTTGTAGTAGTGCTCCTGCTCAGCATGGCTTCGGGCGGACACAGACGGCCGACGGGGCAGGGTGGAAGTGCGGGACAATAACTGGTTGTGGCCATCTATCAGTAAGTCAGGGTGGGGAGGTGGAGGAAGCATGCTGGAGCAAGACTGGTGAGGAGGTAGAGGCATGGAGGAGGGATGCGGTGGAGGAGGCAAGGGCGAAGAGGATGGGTGTGGAGGTGGAGGCATTTGGGAAGAAGAGGGGTGAGGAGGGGGAGGCATTTGAGAGGAAGATGGGAGGGGTGGTGGAGACATCTGAGAGGATGGGTGAGGAGGTGGAGGCATATGAGAGGAGGTGGGGTGAATGGGAGGTAGAGGCATTGGGGAGGAGCTTGGTGGTGGAGGGGGAGGCAAGGGCGAGGAAGATGGTTGCGGGAGCGGTGGTGGGATAGGGGATGAGGACAGCTGAGGTGGGGGCGGAAGAGGGGATGAGGAGGTGGGAAAAGGTGGGGGAGGCAGATCAGCTCCTCCTTCGGCACTGCAGCTGACCGAGGAGGAGCACAGGGAGTCTGATTTCACTGGGAGTGTCCTGTAGTCCCGGTAATGACTGACATTGTCTTGTCGCTGCAGCGCGGCACGGTGTTTGTCACCCGTCGGGTCAGCGGCCATCATGTTGCCACTGATGGTGTTTCTCCATTCCCACGGCTTGCCATTAGCGGCCGACACACGCACCACCGGGTGGTGAGGGGCATGAGCGTCGATTGTGACAATGCTCCCGCTGCCAGCGATGCTCCCTGGGTTGCTCCCAGTGCAGCTGTCTCGATCAGATGGTATTCGGTAGTATGGCGACTCTGAGCAGTTGGAGCCAGGACCAGAGGAGGAGCCGCCTTCTGATGTCTTAGTGGAAGGAGTAGTAGGTCCTTGGCCCTGCTGCTTTGACATGGCTACGACCTGCAAGAAAGAGACAAAAATCTCATGATAATCCATATATAAGAGCAGCTGCAAATAAATTACTCAACAACTATCCAGGAAGAGGGACATTTATTGACGTGGACATGGCAGAGCAAGATAATAACCTATTATATACCTCTAAAATATTTTCAGAAGATTTAAGTCTAGTTATAATTAGCATTTGAAGTCTTATGAGACTGATTTATGTTGGAAACTAATCAGTGAAATTGCTCCCACCAGTGTTGTTCTGATTATACCAGCAAAAATAAATCAGAGATGTGTAGTTTACACAGCATATGGCAGCTGTTAAATCTCCGTTCCTGTCTAAACTGAATTGGCTACATGCCACGTGACAATAAAGTATGAAAAATTATGGCTCAAGATAATATCGTTGTGATCGTTTTTAGGCTTTCATTTTCTAATTTCTACCTCACCTGTGTGACTCTTTGCTGGCTGGGAGGCTGGTTGGGCTGCGTGTTGGGCACACGGGGAGTCGACACGGCAATGGGCCCTGTTCCAGGCTCTTTTAGTCCTCCTCCCTCTGTGAGTGACAACCACTTTGCCCGTGTCTTGGCACTCTTAGGGGAAACAGGAGGTGGGCGAGAGGCCTCCTCAGGGATGTGAACAAGTGGGGGTGCCACCACCATCCTGGCTCCAGTCGGTGTGGTGGTATTGGCTTGCACTGTGGGATAAAGGGAAGACGGCATTTGTTGGTCGCCCCCTTCCCCTGCAGCTGTGCCTCCTTCACCTCCTCCATCTCCTCCCTCTTCCTCATCTCGTGAGCTCTGGCTACGGAGCTCCATGGAGCGCTGCTTCCACTCTGACACCAGCTGCCGAGACCTTTGTGGGTCGAAGGGCACGTGGAACGTCATGTGACGCTGGGTGGTGACTGGCTCCTCTGAGGGTGAGATGGGGCTGTTGCCGTTTGCAACTCGAGGCAAGGTGTTGCTGAAGGTTACCATGGTTTCCTTGCCCATGGGACGACTGGTCGCCAGAAGCTCCACATCAGCGCTTGCTCGTTTGAGGGAGGCCAGGGATGCCTTCTCCCTCCTCACCTTACTCCGTGCTCCAGATCCCAACCCCAGCTCCTCCCTGCTTTCAGACACCCTGGGAGTCTTCCTGTACAAGGAGTCATGGCTCCTCTGACTCAACACCCTCAGGCCATCCTTCTGCTGTGCTGAAGCTAGTCTCTGTAAAGACGGAGCATCTTCTTCCGAGGCTTTGAAGTTTCCCACTGCGTACACAGCCTAACAAGGGACAGAGGGACAAAGGAGAAATAAATGAGGAAATAGAACCACTCAGGGTGTTAAATAAAGACTGGAGCATGAAATTGTGTTTTCTTTAATCATTAGGAGGGAAAATTTAGATTTTCATATTAGTGGAGAGAGTTTGCGTGAATAGACATCTCTCTTTCCTGCTATTCTCCTGAGGTCAGCATGAATCCCTCTCTAACCCCTCTCTTCATCCTTTAATGACAAGGGGAAAAACTCCCCCTCTTGAAAAGTGAAAGACGAGAGAGACAGAGAAGGCGAGGAGGAGGGGAGCGTGGAAAATGGCAACGACAAGTTTTCTTAAAACGAAGTGTGAAATTGTTCCAGAAAATTCTTATCGGATTATTCATTCCCTCTCCCTTCCCTCCGTAATAGAAAAGGCTATATATAGGCTGCCAGTAAAAAAAAAAAAAAAATGCTCGGAGAGAAATATATGGAAGCCACACAGGGAGGAGAGGTGATGAAAGAAAGAAGCGTTTGTTAGCACATGCTGTGATACTGTTAGAATAATACAATGGGACAGTTCAGTCACAGCAAAACAACTAAACCACGTTAATAAGAAAATCTATTTATGTGCATTTTGTCATTCCCACCCTGCTGCATATTGATGGTTAACTACTCCTCATGGACAAACAAATCCCTGAATGGATCCAAACACATGCTGATGCTTAATTCACAAACACAGGCCTAAAATAGAAGATTTGTAGACATCTTCATCAATTCAGATTTCTTTTAGCAAGTTCTATTATTAGAAATAAAGTAATTGGGGAAAAAAAGCAGGAGCAAACATTTTTGTGCACTTTGTTGAACTAACCAAGTAGACTCCAATGCCGGCTCCTATCACGTATCCCACGTAGACGTCTATAGGGTGACTGCGGTGTTGAGTTATCTGCGTCAGGCCAGCGAGGCCCGCTGCCATGCAGAAAGCAAAGACGAGCATCGGCTTCAGCAGCTTAGTAGTGCTGTTGATGCTGGCGTTGAAATACATCTGCAGAGAGAAACAAACACACACAGCATATCAGCAAAGAGCAGACGTTTGAGACATATGAAGCCTGGGATTAAGATTAAAAGGCATTACGATAATTTTACCTCAGCTGCACATAGACAATTACTTTACAGTGTGTAGTGCAAATGTAGATTTCATTACCCGGCTAATAATAAAACAATATGCTAGTTAGAAGAGATATCAACACCAAACTCATATCTGTTTATTAGATATTAAGCCAAAGTCTGGAGCTTAGCCTAACATAAATGGAGAAACAGCTCTCCAGGCTGCATTCTTAAAGACGAATAATTTGCCCATTACCTCCAAGAGTTACCTCCAGGACTGAAAAATGAAGCCAACCAGGATGTGCCAGTTAAAGCTGGATGCAACAGCCAGTTAAATAGCCACAAGCTGTCTGTTAGGCACCACTTAAGCTGAACTGAGCATGTGTGCATTGTTGCTACCTTTTGAATTCAATTACCTGACAATTAATACGGCTGGCTATGCAGTAAATTGTATTAGCAGGCTAATTGAATACTATGTGCTCCTTGGACCATTCTGTTCAAATACAGTCACTTTTGCCAATACAGTCTATGATCAGCACTTATAAAGTTTTTCAGTCTTATCTGTACAGTTAAGATACTGAAATGTTAAAAAAGTATTTTTAAAGATACAGGCTTTTCCTCCTTTAATCCCCCTTTGTACTAAGAAAAGCTAAAGTAAAGCGGATATAGATTCATATTTAATAACCATTATACAATAGCACTTGTTTCCTGTGCAGCTCATCTTACTCGAAGCATTCTCTTTAAAATAACTCATATTGTCTTGAAAAACGGAAATGAACTTATTTCATAATTTCTTTTTTAGCTCATGTGGTAAAGTAGTTTAGAATTCAAATGCCTTGGCAGTAAAGCAAAGTCGATGAGTGAGAAAGACAGGCTGTGAAAGGGGGAAAATATATTTACAGTTACTGGCCATTCGCATTCTCTGCATGCACACCATATTTCGATTATATAAAACGGAGGACAGCTGAGTGACAGCATGCAGGCTTTGCAAAAAATATACTTTCTAACAAGCTTGTCTATCTAGTGCTGTGCATAAAAATCCTGCTTTTCTTGATGCAAGAGGGAAAATCTGTCAGCCTGGAGAGATGCGAGTTATTTTCGATGCAGATTTTCTCGGCCCATCTTGAACCAACTATCTGCCTTTTGTGGAGAAATTTCCTTAGGTGCCTTCTTTATTTGATTTCATTTAAATTTAGCAGAATTTCTTTTTATACTGAACACAATAAATACATGAATGTCTAAATTTGCTGGACAGTTATGACCAGAACTGAAAAAAAAAATGACCTGGCATCAGCGTGAAGATCCGACAACATGTTGTAGTGCTAACAAACCCAACAGCTGCTTTTCTCCATCTCCCCTTGCCTTATCTTGTCAGAAATCTGTCCAGTGAGCTTTAATGAGCTCATACAGGGCTCACTGAGGCAGCAGTGATATGGCCAGTAGCTTGCAATAGCCATTGGTGGAGGAGTGTGTGTGTGGGAGGGTGTTACCTCGTGGAAAAATGACAGTGCTACTTTGCCGTACAGTTCACATACTGCTGCAGTCAGTGCCAGATTGCAGAACGGCAAAAATATCCACTAGAACGTAACAATGAACCCCCAAACCTGACCTCAATCTGACAGTTACAGTTATTTTTTATTTGAGTCAGATGTGTGTCCAGCCTGAGGATAATATGCAATCTGAAAATCTATGAACTATGTATCAAATGGCAGTTAATTCCAGTTGAAAGTTGCTGATATGCAGGGTTGTAGATCATACAAGTTGTATGATGCCAGCAGCAATGTTTGTTATGAATTAGTGGAAGTTCTGGATAGTTATCATGAAACAAAATTAATTGTTGTGCTAGGACAAAGATACAAAATGTTTATGTATCATTCAGGCTTTAGAAAAAGTATCAAACTAAACATGGTTACCTTGTATATAGTTTTTCTCCTGTTTTTAAAGTTGTAATGTATCAGCTATTCATAGAAAAAGCACTAAATAAACCACACGCATATTCACAAGCAAACAAACATCATGCAAATACACAACACTTAAGCAAACACATGCGGCAATTAAGGCGAAGGGAGTGCTTACAGAGATATATACAGCAGCGAAGCCAGAGAGCGTTGCATGCTGGGATGGGAATGTTTTCCTAAAGGGAGAAAAAGGGAGAGTTAGAAGCGGAAGAGTAAAGACAAAAAAAGAATTCGATTCCTGTTTTCATAAAGGGCTTTGTGTATTCTGAGAGCGTTTATTGCCTCTTGAATAAACCTGAATAAAACTGTCGCGGCTGCTCTTGTTATGCCCGGATTGCATTTGACATTAAAACCTGTGTGTCTGCCCAACTGAGAGTTGTCAGACTGAGTGCGTGTCCTTGGATGTGAACATTAATAAACACAAAGAGAATACCACTGGGCATTAGTGGGAACATTAAAGGGAGAGTGATTGAATTGAGGTCAGAAATGTTATTTAATTTAATTTTTTTTAAATGAAAGAAATCTTGTGTTTGCTCTTAACTTCTGCTGTTTTGTTATCGTTTCCCATTTTTTTCAGGCTAAATTCAAGGATTATTCTTTACAGGCCATGTTTTCTTTTAGACCTGGAGTCTGAATACACTTTGGCTGGCCTAAAGGTCTATTTTATGAATAGATTTCAGTCATATTGCCCTCCAGGCACAGAGCCCTGGGCACCATTCAAACATGCAGGTCAACACTGGACACTCCATAGAACTCCAGCACAGGCCTGTCAAGTTTCCTTCTGTTTTCTGTCTGTGAATATTGCGATCACTTCTCAAAGTAAGAAAAAAAAAAATGTAGACACACTGCCCGTTTTGGACACGTCAATCCACATGCAAGAGCCTCTGTGGTATTTCCAGCACAAAGAAACCACCCAGCCAAGTTTCTGCCAGAGCAATTTACTGATCTATAGATTCCTCTCTGAACAACCCTTTCACTTTCACGGCCAACAGGATGAAAGTACAGAAAAAATCACATTACGCTGTGCAAATTTTGCTCTGGTTTTGTCATTATTGCTGCTTTGGGAGGTAAAGGACATGAAACTGATCACTGTCAAAGCAAATGTCGGTTGTAATGTCAGCAAGCTATATAACAGCGATCCACCGGTAGTTAGTTTCAGTTGGAGTCGGAGTTACAGGGCAGTAGTGGCAAGCCAGTAATACTGTTAGATTATTAAAAATGTTATGACTAATCTAATCAGGCCTTATTTCTGTGTCAGTGTAAATGACTGAGCATTTGTAATCTGTGCTGGTGAGATTTTTCCACTGTTCTTGTGAGCAGGTTTAGGAGAAGTATTTTCACACACAAATAATTGAGGAGCAGTGAAAAAAAAACCCACACATCTTGCCCTCCGGGTGGGCATGCATATAATGATGTGATGTTAGGTGAAAAGGATGAATTTGAGGATCAAGGCTGGAACTATATTTAGGTTAAGATGATGTTAGTTTTGGCAAAAACTGCAAGCGTTTTATAGAACATGTCTTGCTAATCCTTTAGACACTGAGGTGAGAAGCAAGTAGAATGCATTGTGTCAATAAGAGTCACGGCAAGTAAAGCAGTGCTAACATATGCACTTGTACTACAAGGATTATCCCTGTATCAACTCTATTTAGCTATAATCTTTCCTGTGTGTGTGCTTAGTGCCTCTCATACCCATAGATCGGAGCTTATTTGTCTAGCCTATGTCTGCTTGTTAGAAAATGCACTGCAAAAGAGCATTTACAAAACAAAAACTTAGTCAGAGCACCTGCGAGGGAGATTCTGCAGATGAGTGGCAGGTCTTCTTATACAAATAAACATTTGGCTTAACTATCAAGTATGCCATTAAAAAGAAAATCCTTATTATTTTAAGCAACCATTTCTATCTATTTTTATCTTTTTATCCCCTCAATAAGTTGTCATTAGTCCTTGTCTGCTATACTCCTGCAAGACAGTGATGTTTCACCCTATTCAGTACAATCTGCAACATTATTGTCATAATACATTGGGTTACATTTTCTGATTAAGGGTGTATAGTTATGAGCTGCACCCAACTGTAGGCATGTTGACAATAAACTAGGTAGCACAACGTTGTCTTATTCTTATTACAAGGCAACAGACCATGGAGCCAGAGCGCTGACAAGACAGGTAAGACTCTGTACAAGTACACTGATGATTTACTTTAACGACTTCATTAAATCTGTTTGTCTTATTAGCGTTTATGTTGTTTTTATATGTGCAATGATGCAAATTTTGATTTTAAGCAGATGGAGACATTCTGTGTTTATTCTCCTTTTGTTATAAATGAATGCCTTACCGAGCTGACATAATAGCATACTGGTCTTTGCCCATGCAGATGTCCTGTGTGACGTAGGCATTGTTGTCACATGACACTCCTGGGGCCGTGTAATTAGGCTGGCAGACAGTAAGGAAGAAAGGGGCGTGGTAGCCAGTAGCTAACTGGATGACATCTGTCACCAGGGCTGTTGCCAGGAGACCGAATACATGAACACCTGAGGGAGAGAGGTAAAGGGAAGAGATAGTAAGGCAACCTTAGTAAATGAACTAAAAGCCTCTGGTGGTTTCCGGACATTGAGATGTTCATTTATGAATGTGTACAGTTGCGCAAACTACGCTTAATTTGCTCCGACCTTCAGTGACACCAAAAGCCTTCAGTTTGTCACATTTTGAAGCTTTCCCGCAGACAGAGAAATTTGGCAAGGTGAATTAATTACTGTTTTCACTTCAAAGCTCAAAGTCAGCCTCAAGATATTTCCTGTAGAGTATGATATCATGCCTTTTTCATTTTAAGCCACCCTTCATTTAATGCATGTAATTAGCTTATTTCTCTACTCTAAAACGGGGATAAAGTTGCAGGCTGAGAAGGATGAATAATTTGTCAGAGCCAAAACTGATATTCATCTTAAGAACAACAGCATTTTGCTCTAACTTTGTGGTTTGCATAAAGGACAGAATTTAGTGTGGCCTTAACTCCTGCAAGCAGCCCAAACACTCCGAAGGACTGGCAGTTATACGCACCGACGAATCGCACGGTCCTGCGTAGGAAGGAGTTGAAGCTGCAGCCTCCAGCATTTATGCTGCCTTCTGACTTTGGACAAGTCTTCAGTTTGGACTGCATGCAGTACATCAAGCCTTCCCCCATCATAATCTGCAGACAGAGTGAGAGAAAAAAAAAAGGAGAATAAAAGATATGGAGTCTTTCTTCGTTACACTTCAAACGACTAAATGAAAAAGAGAGTAAATGAAAAAGAAAAAGATTTGAAAAGTTTGAATCTATCATTGTCAGATACAAGATATTGTGATCGATGGGAAACAATGCATTGTAGAGCGAACGGAGCAAAGGTGCTATTGAACAGTGATCACTTTCAGTCAGAATGATAGATGAGTTTTGGAGAGGTCTGCTGAAGGATTAGGAATGTGTGCGTCTGGGTGTGAGTGTGCATATTGATTGGAGGGCCTGTGGCGTGTTCGATGATGTGCATGGGAATGTCAGGTATATATTTAGTGTCTACATTTATCGTGCTTTGTGAGTGTTTGACAAGCTGTACATTTGTGTGATCTATGCATTTGTCTATATGCACAAGTGTATCTGCGGGATGTTTATGTGGAGCACTCACAAACCCTCAAAGCTTCAGACATATAATAGGTCACTGAATCTGTGACAGGATTATGTTCTGGTAGAGCTAATCAACACTTTCGTATAAGGAGTTAATTAAATGTTAATTAAATGCTCAGTGGAAAACCTAAATATAATTATTACTCAAACTTTTAGGTTCATTTAACACGTTGTTTTAGTTCAGCCTGTGTAAATCATGCTCTAATAAGTTTTCAATCAATTTTCAAATTAAAACAATCCCAAAATACCAATAGAAACTGGATGTCTGGAAACAGGGCACCAGAGTGCCCTGTTTCCATAACAAGTCAAATTATATTACATAATATCTAAATATGGATAAACTTGTGGCAGAAAAATGTTTAATTACAAAAAGGTTTTACAGAACTGCTCGTTAACACAAACATCTAATCAAACCCATCAAACCCACATGGCAAATACAAGCATTGAGCAGTGCATTTACATGCGTACACATGGTCTAGACAACCTGGTTGACTTCAAACTGAGAACTCAGAATGAGGAAGAAAGGTTATTAAAATGTCTCGTGGCGTGGTTTCTGATGCCAGATGAGTATTTGATCATCTGAAGGGATTTTCCTGCACAAACATCTTTAGGGTTTACAGATAACGATCCAAAAAAGAGAAAATTTCCAGTGAAGGGAAGTTCTTTGGACGATAATCCCTTGTTGATGCCAGAAGACAGAGGGGAATGGACAGACTGCTTTGAGCTAATTGGAAGACAACAGTAGCTCAAATAATGTGAATATGTCAAACCTTGAAGGAGATGAGGTACAGCAACAGAAGACCAGTTGCCACTCGCATCAAATAAAAACAAGAAACTGAGGCTACAATTCACCCGGGCTCGCTAAAATCGGACATTGCCTGGTCTGATGAGTCTCAGTTTCTGCTGTGTTACACATTTGGTTGGTGGGGTTGTAATTTGATGTAAACAATGTGAAAGCATGGATCTTTCCTTTCTCAGCAGTTCAGACAGTGTATCCATTATTTTTAATTAAAACAGGACCATGTATAATATTAAGATAAATGTTGCCATTTGATGCATTGCACCTGAAAAGCTAATTAATATCTGCAGTCTCTTGGCAGGTTATATGCAGAAGATCACAAAAATGTTACATAAAACATACAAAACATTCACACACCCATAACCACCAAGCAAGAAGCAAAATCAATCAAAATGCCTCCACAGTCACCAGATACACACACAGTCTCCAGTAGAGCACCTTTGTGATGTGGTGGAGTTGATCATAGATGTGCAGCTGCTACGTGATACTATCATTTCAGCATGGACCAATTTCTCTAAAGAATGTTTCCAGCATCTTATTGAATCTATGTTATTAAGAACTATGGTCAGTTCTAAAGGCAGTAGGGGTTCAACCCGGTACTAGAGAGGTGTACCTAACGAAGTGTCTGGTGGGTGTAAGCAGGAAGTACTGCACAGATTGTAGATAGTCATTGCACTGAATGCCATAGAAATATATGCTTAATAGAAAGTCAATTTTAACCTATTTATTAGGTATGACTAGTATAGAATAGTTTATTAAAGTATAGC